TGGGAATGAAAACTTCTAATAACAATTGACAAAATTACGATAACACATATATATAGTTAACAGATGTAACTGTTCCACATTCTTTCTTTTACCAACGGCATGTTTATTCTTTACCATACTATCAATTGAAAACCTTGATAAAGCGTGTTTGTAATATTTTTCCAATTTTAATATTTTTATATTTTTAAAACAAAAATAATGTATTTTATCTAGCAAGTGTTTGGTGAGAGCATTGGATGGGATTTTGAAATTGACATTAATGAGAGTTAGCAGTAAACGCTCATCTAATTCTGCATCATGCGCTGCCTTTCTGATTGGATGATTGCCCGTCGATTTCAACTGAAAATACGAAAAGCCAGTGTAAGTAACATTTCTCAGAGAGCTACCACCAAACGCAGACGCAGACGCGCCCGGCGAGCAGAGAGACGGTCAAGCGCCTGCCTACATTGTGAAGTGATAAGTGGATTGTGAACAAGTGCAACGACACAGCTACGGTTACGGACTTTCTCTCTCTAGGAACAGTGAACGGCACAACGGCTGCGATTTTGGACATCTCCCCGGGAAATTGTGACTTGGACATTCTTCGGTACATCTTCTGGAAAATTGTTTGGATCTGGCTTGAATTTGTCTACTTCTATACTGATTGTGGTTGGAATAAATCCATTTTTACAAATTGCTTTCTTTGAGATACTACATTACCCTCTACATGTGACCCACCGCACACCGCACCCCACCACTGAAATCGTGATACTTCTTGCAACCTGAGGAGCGCTCCCATGAGAACAATCTGAAAGAGACTGAGCTGAAAATCCTACAAACGAAGCCAGCAGAAAGAGGACGAAGTCTAGAACATTAATCCTCTGGCGAACATTATGCGGTAATTACAATCCGAAACAAAGACTCTGCACCTGGAAGAATTCCACTACAATTTCAAACAAGTATGACACGTTGAAGGTGAGTTGAAAGGTTCCGAGAGTAGCCACCCTCATCAAGAACACAGTCCTCCCAGACCTGAATTTGAAGTAGTGCGAGTGAATAGGATGGTGTACTGTGCTCCTGGGGCAGCCCTGGGTGCCCTACGCATATTGCTTTGAGCAGGCCTTTTCTTAAGTTATCAGTTTGGTCGACTTCTTCGAATCCAGTTTAATACTGTGGCGTCGTTAACACGAGGGCCAGAACCGTTAGGTTGGAGAAAGTACGCTGCGGGGGAGGAAGGGGTTGAGCCTGAACATCCGGGAGTTTGCGCTCGGGCGGTTGACTCAGGTAGTGCCGCAGAGCGAAGAATACCGGAGGCTGTAAACTCCGAGGATGCTGCCGGCGAGCCACGTTTACGGAAGCAGGCAGCCAACCTGAGAATTCTGTGTGTAGGCGTAAACCAAAGGCTGGCCTGCGAGTCTCGCGCCAGCCGGCGAGCCTACCTATGGAACAGTGGTGGGGGTGTCAGTCTCAACTATTTAACGCGGCGCCATCTGCGCCCGCGTTCTCATTCAGTTTGCATCGGGTAGCTTGTACGTGTATGTACAAGGAGGGTGTAGGAGTGAGGGCGAGATGTCCGGAGAGTAAAGGCCAGACAATCTCACGTGCTGTAGGCACACGGTCGCCACGACCGGGTTAACTTTTGGCGTCAGGCCATGTGACGGTAATTGTCACGGGACAGAGGTCCGACGGCGCGCATCACGCGTGGCTTGTATTTTCTGCGGTAAAGCAGTGTTCCGAAAGGAAAAGGTTGCCGGAGTGTTTTAATATTAGCAATTCATTGTAACTTGTACATAATCTTTGAATATATTATTTTTATTTTGTTATTGAAATTTATTTCTTATTTCACTACGTCACAATACGTTCCTCCCTGCCGGTTGTAAAGTCTCAATCTTCAGAGAGTCAAGATTTGTCATCGACTTCCTATTGACCGCTTCTTCTTATGGGAAATGATGGCCTTTCTCAACAACAAAAATAACAATTTAATAACTAAATATTTGTTTTATAGGTTCACAGAGTACAGCAAGTCCTATCTTCTCCAAATACCAAGTAGTTATTACTATCAATATCTAAAGAAAATCATGATTACTATAGCATAAAACCCACAACCCGTGGAACCGAGAAGATCTCGATTATCCGCGACCTCAAGAAGCGTTCGCCTTTGTTTATCCGGGGTCTTCTATTATGGGTATACCTTTGCCAGGTAGAGACAAATGACAACGATAACTCTCTACGTTGCAATTTTGACGAACATCTGCTTCCATTATTAGAAATGAACGTAGAAAAAAAATTTCAATATTTACTGGTAAAACTATATTTATGTTCAGGCTTTGACAAATTTAGGTATCTTTCGAAGATAGTTTACTGTTAATTATACTACTCTGATACGATCCAAATAAAATACAAACATGCATTTGCCACCTCTCAAAATATGGTTTATTGAAAAAGTTGTTGAGCATTTAATGCGGTACTTCACTGTCTGGATGTATCATATTAACACACACAGAAAGAAATGTTTCATTATACAATTAATTATCTAGTAGGTTGAACGATTTATGTAGTATATTTTGGGAGAACGAAGTGCTTTGTCACGTTCACAAAACTGCAGTTTAGTTAAACATACTAATGCTCGTATAGTAATGTTCATTAAAACGGTCGCAATATTTATTTAACACGCTACAGTGAAAATTACTAAACGAATATTTGCGTTTCATAAATCACTAAACTCTGAGTAACTCCAGGAATAAGCACAAACGTAGAAGGGAATCTTTCTAACCCTTCATAAAGGTAGTTATGAAACTGGGGTTCCTCAGCGGTCACAAATCCAACGGCCTCATGCACTCGTATTTCCTTAATCACGGTAACTTGTCAGACCCTCGCCAAGCAGAAGAGTTACGGACTTTGGCTGCCGACGTTTGGCTACCGACCGTACTTTTACTATGTGTTTAGACTACAAAACCTAATTATTTAAAATTAGAAAAATACTAAGCACGTCGTTAATACAGTATAATAATATACACAGCGTTCGTTTTTAATAGTTCAAATGGGCTCTACAAGCGTTGAAATTGGTCAGATTTCTGACAAGACGAGCTTGCTAACCAGTGTTTAGTTGTGACGACATGGAATGTAGATATCAAATTATAATTTTACCTACGAAACAAGTAAAGTATCAATGACAACTCTCATTGTTCATTTAGTTATGGTTATCAATTGTCTGATTTACTACACGAAACTAAATCATGTTTAGTGAATCTTACCATACGCATAATTAACTATACGATCACTTACTGAACATTCTCAGTTACGTTGGATTACAACATTTCTGTCAATGTGCATTTATCTTTCCTGTTTGGATGTTCAACGCATCTGAACAATACAGGCGTCCAACATTTATTTGTTTAAATAAATGTTAGTACAGACATATTTCGTGTATAATTTACGGAAGACAATGAGAAAGTAAAGAAACAAGGACCTTAAGATTTATAGCAGGCACTGGACAATCACTGTAGAAAGGACAACTTTGCTTCTCCTATAGAAAGTGTATAGCCCCATTCTCGTTATGAAGGTTCCGTCGCAATAATCGTAATCCTTTTTATTGTAATGGGCTATTGTGACAAGCACTATTGTAATGGCTACGTCTGTAGTAAGTTCAATTGTTCTTTGAGATACTCAGTAGACTAATTTGCTTCTCACAATACAAATGTAATAAATTATATCAGACAAATTTTTCAGGAGACTGATTCCTTTCAAAGGTCATTTATGGGCTGTCGGGTGAGGGTACTTGGGTGAGGGTTGTTGTGTGAGGGTCGTTGTGTGAAGGTTGTTGTGTGAGGGTCGTTGTGTGAGGGTTGCTGGGGGAGTTGGATTAGGGTCAGTAGGCGAGGGTGAGAGATAATCGCGGGTAGGTGAGTGACTGAGCGAGGGTTGCCGGGCAAGGGCTGGTGGGTGAGTAGTGGGTGAGGGTCGGTGTATGAGGGTCGGTGTGTGAGGGTTGGTGTGTGAAGGCCGGTGGGCGAGGGTTGGAGGGCGAGGGATGGAGGGTGAGAGTTGGAGGGCGAGGGCTAGAGGGTGAGGGTTAGAGGGCGAGGGTTGGTGTACGCGAGGTGGTGATCTTGGCTCAGTGGCCAAGGGTCAGCTGGCG